CCTCCCCCTCCCTCCTCACCGTCTCCGCCCCCTCCGTGGCCTTCGGGCCCCGCCCCCACCGGAAGTAGCAGCAGCCGAGCCCCGCCCCCAGCCCGGCCAGGAGTAGGAGCCCCCCCAAGGCGCACAGCGCCCCCTGCAGGATGGGCCAAGCCGGGTCCTCCGCGCTGCCAGGGGGCGCTGCCGGCTCCTCCCGCTGTGGGGGCGGGGCCTCGGGCAGGGCTGGGGGGAGGGGAAAGCGAGAAAAGGAACTTCCGGTCAATTTTTAGTCACTTCCGGTTCATCTCCTGTTCCCATCCCAGCCTGCACTGCGCCTCTGGCCACGCCCATCCCCTTTCAGCCGTTCCTCATGGCTGCTTCCGGTTTTATCCCTTACTTCCGGTGCTGCTTGAACTTCCGGTTCCGGTTTCTCTTTTCACCCCAATCTTTACCATCAAAAGCAGCCGCTTCCGGTTTCCCCACCCACTTCCGCTTTTTGTCCATCCCATTTCCGGTTCCGCCCCGGCAACATCCGGTTACCAGAAAGCTCATCCCCAGCAAGTCACAGCTTCCGGGTTACAACCGGAAGTCACCCATCACCACTTCCGGCGGCCATTTTTGCTCCCTCTTTTTTCTGACGTCACCTCCAGGCCCCGCCCCCTTTCGTCTTTCCCAAATTTGTGCGTTTTGGCGCCATTTCCCTACCGGAAGTGACGGCTCTCAGCCGCACGGGGGCGCTCTCCCCGCGGGCGTTGCGTGCGCGCACGGTGACGTCATAGGGCGTGGCCGGGCGGAGCCCGCCCAGCGTGAGGGAGAAACCGGAAGTGACGAGAGCGGCGGGTGGGGGAGGGGCTTCCGGCCCGTCAGCCCTGTGGGGGAGGGGCGGAGAGAAAGTGAGGAGGGGCGGGGCCTGAAGTGAAAGGGGGCGGGGCCAAGCGGGGAGCCATTAAAGGAGCCGGAAATTGTATGTGGGCGGACCGGAAGTGACACAACGGAAGTTGGGGGGGGGACTGAAGGCAACACAGAGAAGTAAAGAGCCGGAAGTTCGGACAGACGGACAGGAAGTGACGCAAAATAACCGGAAGTGGCGTTGGTGAGACCGAAAGCAACACAGAGAACGCTGGAAGGGGCCGGAAGTTCCGACCGGAAGTGACGCAAGGCAGCAGGAAGTTGGGGTGGAAATCCCGGAAGTGACGCGGGCACGGCTTTAAGTGGCCGGAAGTCGGTGCGGGTGTGCCGGGTGTGACGTCACACGCCCCGGAAGCGGCTGGGGAGGGGGAAGGGCGCCCCCTACCGGAGCAGGAAGTGCTGGGGCAGGCCGCCGTCCCAGCCCGGCTCCCAGGCCACGCCCACCGAGGTCCCCGAGAGCCCCGAGAGCCGCAGGGCCCGCGGCGGGTCCGGCCGGTCTGGGGGGGACGCCGGGACGGTCCCAGGACGGCCCCAGTAACCTCCCAGTGTGGACCCAGTGCTCCCAGTATGGACCCAGTGCTCCCAGTGTGATCCCAGTGCTCCCAGTATGGACCCAGTGCCCCCAGTATGGACCCAGTGCTCCCAGTAACCTCCCAGTATGGACCCAGTGCTCCCAGTGTGATCCCAGTAACCTCCCAGTGTGATCCCAGTGCTCCCAGTATGGACCCAGTGCTCCCAGTATGGTCCCAATATGGTCCCAGTGTGACCCCAGTATGATCCCAGTTTGATCTCAGTATGATCCCAGTGCTCCCAGTGTGATCCCAGTATGATCCCAGTAACCTCCCAGTGTGACCCCAGTATGATTCAGTGCTCCCAGTACGGTCCCAGTGCCCCCAGTGTGGTCCCAGTACCCACAATGCCCCTCCCAGTACAAACCAGTAACCCCAATTCCCCTTTTAACCCCTTCCCACTCTCTCCCAGTGCTCCCAGTATGATCCCAGTGCTCCCAATGCTCCTCCAGTCCCTCCCAATCCTCTCCCATTACAAACCAGTCCCTCCCAGTATAAACCAGTAACCTCAAATCCCCTCCCAGTCCATCCCAGTGTCCTCCCAGTATAAACCAGTGTCCCCAAATCCCCTTTTAACCCCTCCCAGCCTATTCCAATCCCCTCCCAGTGCTCCCAGTCCCTCCCAGTATAAACCAGTAACACCAAATCCCCCTTTTAACCCCTCCCAGTCCCTCCCAGTATACTGCCAGTGCTCCCAGTCCCTCCCAGTATAAACCAGTAACCTGGAATCCCCTTTTAATCCATCCCAGTCCCTCCCAGTTTGTCCCAGTTCCTCCCAGTCCCTCCCACTCCTTCCCAATCTCTTCCCAGTCCTTCCCAGTTTGTCCGAATTCCATCCCAGTCCCCCCCAATCCCCTCCCATCCCCCCCCAGTCCATCCCAGTCCC